GCCGCTCCACGGCATGTGGGATCTTCCCGGACCGGGGCACGAACCTGTGTCCCCTGCATCGGCAGGCGGACCCTCAACCACTGCGCCACCAGGGAAGCCCCAGCCCAACTTTTTTAATTGTAGGAGTGTGGAATGAAGTACAATAAGATCAAAAAGTTAGATACTGTGGCCATTTTGAGATCAATAAATAGTGCATTTATAAAACGAATTGTATTTCTCATTGATTCACAGTATCTTGTGCTGACTCCAGTTCCTTCTCAAATAACAGAAAAGACTATTCGTGAGAACGGGGACTTGTTTATCTGTATGTGCTCAGCACCAGCACTGTTATAACCCATAGTAGATGTTGAAACCTGTTAGTGAATGAATGGACACCAGCAGTATTCCTGTTTTGCCCTTTGCGTGCTCACGTGGTAATGATGACTTATTTAGCTAACATATTTTCTTGAATAATTACCTTGTGCCCGGCACCATTATAGGTTTTTGGGATACATCAGTGAACAACACAGACAAAAGTCCCAGTTCTGGTGGACTTGACATTCATGTAGAGTTGACAGAGGATAAACAATAAACACTATATAAGTAAATTATACAGTTTTTTACAAGATAATAATGCTATGAAAAAAATTTTAAAGCAAGCAAAGTAAAGAGAGCTATATGAGTATGTGTGTGAGTGAGAGTGGTCGGGTGGTACAGGTTATAATTTTAAGTATCCAGAGAGAACTTTTTTGTATATATATTTTTAATATATGAAAAAATATGATATATTTGGTAGGTTCATGGAATATGTATAAAAACATTGTATACTTTGCCACAAAAAATACTTAATAAACTAAAAAGAATAAAGATTTTTACAGGTCATATTCTCTGATCATAATACAACAAAATTGGTAATGAATAATAAAAATGACCCCAATAATTTTAACTGTAATTTAAATATAATATTGGACATTATAAGCACCTTCCTAAATAGCATTTGGATCAAAAAGGAAATAAAAATTAAAACAACATATTCAACAAACAATTGAAATCAGATACTTCCTACCAAAATAACTTGGGAACAAATGAAAGCTACCCTATGAGGCAATTCTGTAGGCTTTGATGTCTTTATTATTAAAGAAGAAAGAAAAAAAAAGACAAAATTATTATACATCTTAATTAGAAGCAAAATGGTAGTAAGGGAAGCAATAAAGAAAACAATCGAAATTCATAAAATAGAAAAAACCCTCAAACCTCGTAAGTAAATCCAAAAGCTGGTTCTTTGGAAATACCAATAAAACAGACAATCCTTTTTTGACCCTGATTAAAGAAAAAGAGAACAAAATTATACAAGATAGAAATGAGAAAGAAGGTAACAATAGAGAAAAAATTCAAATATTATAAATCACTAACTAAAACTCAAGAGTAACACATTTGAAAACTTAGCTGATATGAGTAACTTCCTAATAAAATTGATCCAACAAGTAGAAAACCTGAAGAAACTAATTACCATAGAAAAATTGGAGATTAAATATCTACTATAAAAAATAGCATGGAGACTTGACAATTTCACAGTTAAATGCTTGAAATCCTTTTTAATCTTTAAAGAATGACAGATAATTAAATGTTATTTTTTACTCTTCTAGGGCACAGAAAAAGATAGAGAGTCTCTAAATCATTTCATGAAACCAGCTTTACTGTTACCTGCTAAAGCTAATATGAAAAAACCCCAAAGTTCAAGTTAGCTTATGAATATGTATTCAAAAGAGAATCCAGTACCTTATCAAAGGAATAATTCAAGAGGTTTTATTTCATGAAAGCAAACTGTGCAATATTAGGAAATCTGTAAGTATATTTCATTGCATCAACAATTTGAAGGAGAAAATCCATATGTTGTACTAATAAAAGTGGAAAAGTCATTTGAAAAATTAAAAAAATCAATCTTAGCAAAACAAAATAGAAAGAATAGAAAGAAATTACAAATTGATAAGGACTTTATAAAAAAGTCCAACAGCAAGTACTATTCTAAACACTGAGATATTAAGCTATTTCCTTTAAAGTAGGGAAAAGAGAAGACATCTGGTGATCACCATGATTATTCAAGATTATTTTGGAGACTAGTGAATGCAAGAGAGAAGTAATCTGTATAAATGTTGGATAATAAGAGATGAAGTTATTTATTTATTTATTTGCTGTTGATGTGATTGTATGCCTAGAAAATCCAAAGGATTTTGGTTAAAAACAACCAAATAAGGGAATTTGATAAGGTCTCTGGATATAAGAAATATAAACAGACCAATGGTCTCTTTATTTTCTAACAGTAACCATCTAGAAATGTAGATGAGATAAATATTCCACTTGCAATACCAACGAATACTATTAGATATAGTCTTTATATATTCAGTATTCGGTATTTATTTAGTATAGTATTTATAAATGTTGGGAATACATTTTAAAAACTCAATTTTATTGAGGTATAATTTACATGTGGTAATATGCATACATTTTGAGTGTGCAGTTTGATGAGTTTTGACAAACATATATACCTGTGTAACCATCACCCAATCAAGATATAGAAATTTCCATCACCCTAGAAAATTCCCTCATACTTCTTTGCAGTCAATCAACAATGCCTCACAGAGGCAACCCCAATCTAATTTCTATCACTCAAGATTAGTTTTGCCAGTTTTAGAACTTCATAAAAATGGGGTCACATATGTCCTTTTATGTATTTGGCTTCTTTGACTCAAAATAACGTTTTTGAGATTCATTCATGTGATTGCATGTACCATGCAAAGAACAAAGGTTTGTTCTTTGTTTTTGCTAAGTGCTCTTTTCATTGTATGGATATAGCATGGTTTGTCCATTCACTTGTTGTTGGACATTTGGACTGGCTGTCGTGAATAAAGCTGCTATGAACATTCTTGTACAGGTCATTTTGTGTACACATGTTTTCTCTAGGGTAAATATCTAGAGGTGGAATTGTTGAGCCAGGTGGTAAGTATAAATTTAACTTTATAAGAGACTGCCAACCTGTTTTCCAAAGTGATTGTACCACTTTACACCTCCACCAGCATTGTATACAAGTGTCAGTTGCCCTACATCCTGTTGTTCCTCACTTGGAAAGAACTGTCAGTCTTATTTTTTTTTTAATCTTTAAAAAAATTAACCTAAAAAAATGTAAAATTAAAAAAATTATAGTTGATTTACAATGTTGTGTTAGTTTTAGGTGTACAGCAAACTGATTCTGTTTTATATATATATATATATATATATATATTTTTTTTTTTTTTTAGATTCTTTTCCATTATAGTTTATTATAAGTGTGTCCATAAAGCTCATAACTTAAAGCCCATCCCGACAACAGATGGGCACCAAGGCAATTGCTACAGCTTATTCTTTTATCCTTACTTTCATTTAATAGATATTTGTTGAGTGCCCAGTGAGACGGGGCCACAATACCCAGCAGTGTAAACAACAGGTTTGCTTTCACCAAGCGTTCATCCTTAAGTTACCTGAATGGCGTTTGCATTCTGTGAAAGGCCTCTCCACGTTGCCTACGTCATCCTTGGCACATAACTTTTTTCACAGAAGGCAGCTCGATGCCCCCACAGCAGCTATCCGCATAATCGGCAGGTTAATCAGCAGGTGAGCTCAGGTGTTCGCTGACCTGTGGAATCTTGTCGTGGGGACAATGTGCCAGTATTGCTCTGGACTCATCACTGAAGAATGGCACTCTACTTGCGTCCATGACCAGACTTGCGGCTTATACCTCAGCAATTTATTTAAATTATAAACCCCTCCAGTGCCCTTCAGTGGCCTCATCTGGGTTGTGCTGGCCCCCAGTGGGCAGGATGGGCATGAGGTGGGTGGCCAAGGATGCTGTGTCTGCACGGCTGCTGGAGGCACTGAGTGAGTCTGGGGCC